TTTTTCTCCCTCTCTCTTTTTCTCCCTCCCTCCTTCCCTCCCTCCCTTCCTTTCATCTTTTACTGATCTTTTAGAGAGAGGAAAGAGAGAAACATCAATGTGAGAGAGAAACATCCATCCACAGCATCCCCTACACAGGCCCACTGGGAATTAAACCCAAAAACTAGATATGTGCCAGAAATGAAACCTGCCACCTTTTAGTGTATGGGATGATGGATGATGCTCCAACCAACTGAGCCACACTAGCTGGGGCTAAACATGCCTTGTACTTTCATACCTCCAGACTTTTGTTCATGCTGTAACCTCTCAATGGGCATTGTCCTCCTACCCCAAGCCATTAAATCCCTCAAGGACATAACCAACTCAAATGTCACCAAAATGCAGGCCAATTTAGGAGAAAGGCAGAGAGTCTGTCCTATCTACTAGGCTAATCCTAAGTACCCAACTGATAAACAGGCAAAAAAGTAGAAATGAATTGATTACCTTAAAGGAATTATTATAAACAGTAGAAATCAAGCATCATCTACATTTGACTTCTATATATATTAATTGATTTGTTCTTAGAGATTTAATATCCTGGTTACAACTGATATTCTGGAATCCCCTGAGCATTTGTAAAATTTTTAAGGCCAAGATAAATAGTTGCTACATTAAAAATTGTTCATTAATCCACCTCTTGCCTCCTCCACCCCTCCCCCACCCAGTATACTTCATCCCTTTGAAAGGGTGTCTTGTATAATTTTATATATTTTATCAAAGAGTTATTTCTTATCTCTTATTCTGAATTAAATTAAATGTTTTACTGCAGTAAAGTTTGTCCAAATTCTGTTATTTTTAAAAAAATTGTTCGTTAAGACAATAACACATATTCAGAAAATCAGGAAGACACAATCCTTGGATCATACGGGTTTACAATTGTCTAAAAGACTTTGAATCTCTTATTAATATCATGTTCCAGTTCCTTCATACACAAAGCTATTTTTAAAATAAACAAAAAAAAAAAAGTTTAAATTTACAAGAAGAAAAAATGCTCCCAAATATCTTTATGTATGTTCTGGAGAGCAGTACAAAACCTACAACACTTCACATTCAAACCTATTAAACAACTACTAATGGAGGTAAATCATGCAATATTTATAAGTATGGCTGATCCAAAAAAGATATTAAGGCTAAGCAATCAATTTTGACTTATGAAAAAAATTCAACGTCTAAATCCCAGGATAAACGATAAAGCATCTGTTGCGAAAATGAGATGTTGGCTGAACTGAAGTTAAAAGCACAGCAAGCCCTGGCCCTGTGGCTCAGTTGGTTCCAGACTCCTCCCACACGAGGAAAGATTGAGGGTCCCACCCCTGGTCAGGGCACATCCAGAAGGCAACCCATGGATGTTTCTCACATCAACGTTTCTTTCTCTCAAATCAATAAGCATGTCCTCGGGTGAGGATTAAAAGAAAAAAAAAACAACACCAGCAAATTTTCACTAACAACTTGGATAAAACAGGTCAGTCCGACCATCGTTTGAAGAGTACCAGTGTAGTTTTGTTCTCTTACAAACACAGGACAGGCATCTTTCTAAAATTCACAGTCAATTACTTTGGAGGGTTCTCTTCTGATATACTACCAAGTCTATAAAGAGAGCCCGCCCTCCCCGGCGCCATCCACGAACAATCCAAATCTCGACTAGGGAACGGATATCTTAGAGATGACCACTCTCACCTGAAACTCCTGCACACTCACCGCCTGAAGACCTTGAGAGTGAAAGCGGCTTTCGCGCTGCACTGGCCGCTGCCTGTAAGGAGGCCTGGCCTCGAAGCAGGCCAACTCTAGCACGTTTTTGAATTTCTGAAAGTGAAGTGCAGCTGGGAGGAGGAAAACCACCCAATCTAAAGGGATTCGTTTAAACCCGTTTGACACCTGCTCCCTTTCAAACACGACGACGAACCAACTCCAACCTCTGGAGCGGCAGCCGCAGAAGCAATGACAGACCTCGAGGCCGAACTGGGTCAGGGTTACAGTTACGCTTAGGTTGTATATTTACACCCTTTTGTCCACAAACTTGAGCGCTAACTTCAGCTCCTTTCAAGACGGCGTGCTCGCTGGGCCGCACAAATCAGAGTTTTCCTGAGTCGGGAAGGGCACAGTCTCCCCCCCTCCGGCTCGGAGGCTACCCCAGTCTTCCCCAGACCGCACACTCGGCGGCCTCGGCTCCTGGTGGGGTGTCTCGCGCAGGGGTCGCTCGAGGCCACTCGCCGCGCCCCGGCGAGATCTGAGGGATGGGGGCCCGCACCCGGCTCCTCCTCCAGGCCCCCGGCGGTTTCGGGCCTGGGGGTCACATTACGCAAACAGTCCCGGCCCCGGCATCCCATGGCGGCCCCCTCCCCAGCGCAGGGCGCCTCTCCGCCCCTG